CAGTCTACTCTCTAATTATTGTGGTAATTCTAGACAAAGAAGTGTCCTATGACGTGATGGAGAAGGACAGAGAGCTGGCAGAAAACAGCAACGTGCAGGACCAGGACAAGGTGAGGTGGGAGCGGTACTGACGGTGCAAAATTTAACAAGGAGTCGCTCGTAACTGTGCAGGTGCCCCACGTGTGATGCCTCCCTAAACTTTGCACCCTGGTGCCTCTCCTCACCCTGGTGCCGTGGAGGAGACCATAATTTCCAACACCCTCTATGGGTGGTGCCCTGTGATCCCCGCACGGTGGCAGTGGCCACGGGGATTCAGCAAGTCTGGCTTCCCTGGAAGAAGGTTAGCGCGCAGATGCAGGTGCACCAGCAGTGGTACCTGAATCCACGTCTCGACTCGACTCTGTCATCTCAGTGAGTTGGTCTCTTTACAAAACGGAAGAGGACGGGCAAGTACCGGGTTTGGTGCTGAGCCTCCTTCTGGAAGTGGGCTTGGTAAAAATAAAAATAAGTGCGGCTCCACAGCCAGCCTGGAGCCTGCGGGACACACTCCCTTTGGACCCGAATCCCGTAGGCTCAAGAACGGGCTGTTTGTTTAAAAGGTCTTCCTGGGAAGAGAAAAAAGAAAAAGCTGCAGATTGCTGGATATGTTTTCCTGCTCTTCCAACAGATATTTATGAGGAGTCCCCCACTGCAAGCTTTGTTCTGGTGCTCTGGGTACAAACACCTGAGCCCTCTGCCTGCAGGAAGCTTCCAGTAACTATGGGGGAGCTCCAGGGTATTAACAAGCAGTTATATACACAAAGGAAACAATTTCCTGTAGAACTAGGGCTATGAAAACAACCAGGTTGGGCAGAGGGCCTGAGGGGTGGGTGGCAGCTCCAGATAAGGCGAATGTAGGGAGGATGTCTCTGTCAAAGTTCTTTTTGAGTATTCTGTGAGGGAAGGAGAGATTTGCATGGGGGTAGGGCAGGAGGCACGGGTGGGGGAAGGCATCAAGTGCAAAGGCCCTGAGGTGCAACCTTTAATTTTGTTACCTGCTTTGAGTCAGGTGTACAGTGTTGGGGCAGGATTTCTGAACGAGAGAGAAACAAATGAGTTCCTGGACCTGATTCAAAGTAGCACACCTCCATCTCTATCTAAGTCTCTACACCCCCTCCCCACCCCCCATCCAAAGGACACCTTATTTGGGTCACAGATAAACAGTCCCATCACTTTGTCTGCCCTGCCCCCAGCCCCTACCCCTTCCTCTGGCCTGGCCTCAGCTTCACCACTGACTTGTCCCTTTCTTTCTGGAGCCACAGAGCCCTCCCTGATGGAACCGGCTCTTTTCCTGCCCAGCCGCCCGGCTTACCGGGCTCCACTTTGCCTGCTTATGTGTAGAGGTGGAAGGTCCCCAGGCCTCGGGTTCCCTTATGGTGGGAATCAAAACGACGATACGGAGAGACCTCTTCCTTAACCACATCACATCTTCTCTCAACTGGAACGTTGCTGGCACCTAATTTCAGTGCATCTGATGGAGCCCATAGAGTATTGTGGACTTTCACAGCTACAGTTGGCTATGAAAATGAATCTGATATCCTCATGTTATCCACAAGGAACTGAGGCCCTAAGAAAGGGGAATAACTCACCCGAATTCCACAGGATTTGGGAATTGGGAATAGGTCTTAGGGCAAGCACTTTAAAACGGTCAGAGACATTTTCCACATACTATTTCCATTTTCACAGAGGACAACACTGAAGCACAGGGAGAGAGTGAGTGACCTGTGTCCAGGGCTGGCAGGAAGTGTTTGGCAGAGCTGGCCTTGAATCCGGGTCTTCTCATTAGAAATCCAGTGTTCTCATAATTTTGCCATGCGCTTGTCTTCTTAAAAGAAAATTGAAAAGTTAACATTCCAGAAAATTCCAGAGCAATGTTGGGGGAGAAAAAGTTACCCTCCCCCATGATTACCTTTCCTACTTACTGAAGTGCCCCATAGGCAATGAACTCAGTAGAAGGGAGAGTCTCTTTCTGGGGAGATACGACATTAAGTCTCTGAACAGAGCCACAAATGATATTTGAATGCCAATACTGGCTCAGTTTACTTGGGCACTTTCTCTTGAAAGAAACCCCCCTCTCACGCCTGGGAGTTCCTGGGGACAGGGCTCCAACAGACCAGAGAAGGGCCTCTTGCCGCAGGCTCTGCAGTCAATGTATCATTTTCTCTGCTTTTCACCAAATTTCTCTTGTAGTATTTTTGGCATTTTAATTTTAGATACAGGTGAGGGACTTTTTAACTGAAGTCTAACGTAAGTATCACTAGAATCATATGCAATCTTAACCTATTTGCAGCTTTCAAGCAAGGCAGAAGAGACGGCTTTATGAAGAAAATAACAGGCAGGGTATGGACCTCTTCACCACTCCTCAGGGCCACCTTCCTCACGGGGGGCTGCCTGCTGCTCCCACAAACACCGGGTGCAGGCAGAGGGCTGTCCCAGAAAAGAGGCCCATCTGGGAGTCAGACAGGCCTAGGTTTACGTCCCGGCTCTGTCCCTCACGGGCTGTGGGATCAGGGCCCTGCTCTTTAACTTCTGGGAGGTTAGAGACCTTAGGTATCCTTATTCTACAGATGAGAAAACTGAGGCGTAAGTTAAGAAATCTGTTGAATTCTGCATCACTATTAAATGACAGGTCGGGGTTGAGACCACATTAGTCTGGTTTCAAAGCCCAGACGGCAGGGCACACTGCTCCTCCACAGGGCTGTCATCCTTGTTGACCCCCAGAGGAACACATTTTGATGGAATGCGCTTATAGAAATCATGACTATCAAGTAACAGGGTCAATTTTAAACTAGTATTTCAGAATGTAAAAATAAATAAATAAATATATATATATCAATATGCATGTGTGTATACATGTATATGAATATGTATATGTATGTAAATGTGTGATATAAATATGCATATGTGTATGTATATGTGTACACATACAGCAGGATGGATACCGTAAATAATGTATCTCCAAATGTATATTATGTGCTTCTGTCACAGTGGGAAAGATGATACACTTCTCACAACTAAATTGCTGTAACTGCTGGCTTATGAGCCACAGGAGAATCTCAGAATCAAGGCTTTCCAATCCCACTAGTTTTGACCTAAAATTTTATTAACCAGCGTCATCACCCTCTTGAGCTTGTTTGAAAATCATATTTTGCCTCAATGCGCAAGTTAGGCCATGACTGAAGACTTTCAAAAGACGAATGCCATGTACTTGGAAGGCAAATTCGCAGTATTTCTAAATGACTGAATGACTTCGGTGACGTGATCACGATGGCCCCAGAAGGGCCCTGGTCTGAAGTCCCGGCTCTAACCGGACATGCGGCTTTGGGAACGTCGTACCGCCTCTCTGTTTTGCTTCCTCTCCTGTAAAGCGGTGAGGGCGGGCTAGAGGATGTTTTAAGTCCCTTTAGTTTCTGAGTCTATCAGCATCTTGAAGAGGCGACCGTAATTTGACTGCCTAAGCTCTAGTATGTTTATCAGAACGTTAGCTGCCTTCCCGTCTAGTCACACCTAATGACGCCCGGGTGGCCGGCGGGTCCTTGTTGGGGAGTGAGTGCGGCAGCCCTGTCCATCCGCCCACTTCTCACCTCAGNACCCCCTACATCCCTGACTAGGGTGGGCCGCAGCGAAGGGAGACTCCACTGGACCCACAGATTCAGACCATGAAGCCAGGTTGCCCTCAGAGGTGACCAGAGAAGGTGACAACATAGCCACAGTCACACAGACAGGGCAGAAATGAGTCCCTAGTCTAAGTCCCCAGACCCCAGCTCCACTCGGCAGATGAGTGGGGAGGGAAATGGTGCAGCAGAGGAGAACTTGAAATTAAACAAATTCCATTAAGTGTCAATTACATGCAAAGCACAGAAAGGATCCGGCCCTTTGCTGGAATCAGCGGATGGCTCTGGGGTGAGCTGACTTCTGCACAGCAGGGCCAGGAGAGCTGCTCTGTGCCCACACTACTGGCCCCGGGTCCCCAGCAGGAAATGGGCTAACCCAGAAGAGGACAGTGTGGAGGAAAGCCTGTGCCCACATCCACGGGCCTGCTTCACACTCGGACGTGTGTGTGTCTGCCTGCCCTGCTGGTGGCTGGCTCCTGAGGGATCTCTCCCTCTGTCTGAGGGTACCTGGTGCCCCTTTCCTGATAGTCTTCTCCCACTCGCTGTGGTGACTAGTCTGTTTCCCCTTTTTGTCCCCAAAAGGTGGCCCCTTTGGGGAAACTCTTCCAGGAGGAAGGCTGCAGGGCTACGTGCAAAGGTGTGTGTGTGCGCACGTGTGTTCCTATGTTGCAGACACAAGCAAATGCCTGTGTGCACAGCCCAGCACTATTCGAGCTCACTTTTCACTCCCCACGCTTACTCACCACGCGCCTTTGGGCATGTTTCCCAGTCCCTTTCTGTCCCGTTTCCCCCATTTGTAAGGGCAATAATAAAAGGATTCACCTCAGAGCGCTGCCACCATGACGAAACAATGCACACGGAAAACTTCAAATACCCGCCGTGTGCGCTCAATAAGTGCTATGAATACAATCGTTACGCATGATCATCCGCCAGCGTCAGGTTCTCTCTCTTATCGACCTATCGATATGGTACACGCATCTGTTGTTTCTACACATTATCTCACTTTGTCTTGACAACCTGATGGTGGGTAGTCTCCTCTCCATTTTACAGGAGGCAGGCTGAGCCTCAGAGAGGAGGCCATCGGGAACGCGGGAGTTTGAACATCCCTGACCCGAAGTCAGGCTCCACGTCCCCTGAGAACTCGGTGAGCGCTGAGGCACCGTGACAGCCTGTCCCATTCCTGAGGGGCAGGCACACTGTCCCCTGAAGCGCCCCCTGCCCAGCTCCCTTGCTGGTCTGGGAATTGGGGTCAGGATGGTCAGACCAGGACCGTGCCCTCCGGCCAAGCCTAGGGTAGGGAGGGCAGAGTGCTCGGGAGGAAGCTTAGCAAAAGCTGTGACCAGGGGGGAGAAGCAGTGCACGGAGAGGATGGGGAGGTCGTTTTCAGGAACATTACACAGAGACCAGAGAGAAGTGGGTGATTTTAATCCCATGCAGCTGCTGGAAATTAATTTAATTGCGCCGGCGCTGGCTCTTCTCCCTTCCAAACCATTTCATGGAGGGCCGGCTGGAGAGCTGGGCCTGGAGAAAAGCACTGACCCTCCAGGCGGCCTTGGGAACCACAGCCCAGCAGACCCACCTGAACTGCAACTGCTCCCAGGGCTGATGGTGAAGCGGCTTTGTTCAATCTGGACTTTTCTCTTTGTGAGAAGCAACTGAGGAGAGACAGCAGGACAGCTTCCTGGGAGCAAGGCGCACACACTCCGGGAATGGGGAAGGGTCTGCAAACCACCCCTGACTGGTAAGGACATGAGATGCTGACGGGCCCCTTTGCTGCTTGCGTCTGTGCCTAACGAAGGAGGTCCCCCCACCCGGCTTGGTCACCCATGGCAGCCACCCTCAGGCACAGGACTCCCACACCAGGGACAGGCACAGCGTCACCGGCATCTGCTCTCTGGGACACAGAAGCCCAGGCTGGTACCCCGCACTCCTCTGGGGACTCTCCTCAGCCATGTGCACCCGCCGACCCCACAGCCCCCCACTCTCCCCCACCCACGCGGGATAGAGGGGGGCAAACCCGCGCTCTTGGCCAAAGGCTCTCAGTCCTGGCTGTGCCTTAGTGTCACCTGGGGCACTTTAAACAAAGCGCCAGCTCCCCGGTCCCACCGTCGGGGCTTTTGACTTAAGTGCCCTGCAGTGGGGCTGAGCAGCTGTATTTTCAAAGCTCCCAGGGGATCCCAATGTGCAAACCAGGGGTGAGAACTGCGGAGGTTGGTGACCAACCCTTGCTTCCTGCTCTGTGTCCTGCTCAGCTCTACCCTGTGACCACTAGAGGCCAGCAGGGCCCGGAGGAGCAGCAGCCAGGTCGGCGTGGGCTGGGCCCTGGGCTGCTGCGGGGCGCCAGACTGCCGGCCAGGTCAGTCCTGCAACCACACGAAGCCCACTTCCCTCACCAGACTTTTCCACAGCCTCCGTGGGTCAGAGCTCCCAGTCCAGGCAGCACGTGTTGCCCCCGGGCCCCCACCTGGTTGCTGCACCACTGGGTGTGCAGGTGGATGCGCATTGAAGGAGCGCACTGGCCTCCATCCGTGTACAGCAGAAACGCTTTGCCTGTCCCGCAGGAGGAGCCAGATCTTGGATCCCAAGGGCAGCGGATGTGCGCTCCCTGCAGCTTTCACTGGAGAGAATCAAGCAGAAGGTCCTGTAGTTCGGCTGAGATGTCGTGCGCATGACTGCACGGAGCCCAGGCTTCAGGTGAATGAACAGAAGTGCACCGGTGGTTCAGCGTCTCCAAGAAGAGCCTCAAGGCCTCCCTGCGTTTCAGTTTAACGGAAACAAAAGCAAGGTTTATCTGCCTTCTTCTCTTGACAATACTTGACCTCAGAAGTGGAAATGCGGAGGCTTCCCTGCTCCGGCTTCCGGCCCCTGGACTCCCCCTTGGCACGTGCACACACCGGCCCCTCGCGTTGCCCGCAACACAGTGTTGGGGCTGCTCTGTACAAAGCCCACCTTCCCCTTTAAACTGTGAGGCAGCCCGATGGCAGAATAATTCCTGACACAGAGTAGTTGTAGAATAAACATTTTGCCAAACCAAAATATTTGCTGCCAATCCTGTCTTAAATTTAACTTGTATTTAAAATCAACCTATAAAGACCTTTTTCTAGATTATTTTCTGTTCAGCCCCAAAGACCTTCCTATTCCTAACCCGCAAACATGTGGGGAATATTTGTTAAAAATACAGGTTCCTCAGCCTCAGCCCTTAGAGACAGTGACTGGGCAGGTTTTAGGGTGAAGTTCATTTTTGACAACTGCTACTGGTGATTCTCAAACGGTCAGGGGGATGAACCACACTTGCTCCCCAACAGCCCAAGTTCTGGCTGGGCTTTTTACCCAGGCTGGACTTCAGCTTAGCCGGGGGGATGGGCCAGGGTGGGTGACGCTCCCAGCCCTGCTGTCCGCCTGGCAGGGAGGGCCGCAGATGCTTTCAACCGCGCACAGGACGGAGGGCCCCAGGGCCCCCTTCTCGTGCCCGCCTGGCCCGCCTCACTCCCAGCGGGTCCCCTTTGTGCTCATCCTTGCCCCGCTTCCCTTACCAACTCCAGGATCTGGGGCAGGACAGACATGCCAGGCCCCCATGCCAATGCGGGATAGCTGTGGGGGTCCTGAAACTAGACTCGGGGGCTGAACTTGGGGCCTCGTGGGTGTGGTTCTGGATTTCAGCCCGGCCCTTAGAATGGATTTAAACCCATAGAATGGATTCCGGGCAGCCCGGGGAGAAAGGGGGTCCGAGGGCCTGGAGTTTCGCCTGCAGCCTGGTCTCCTTCTGGCCACTGCCGGGCTCTCCATCGAAACACTTTTCAGAACCGCTCAGGAGGCACCATCAGGACGATTCTCCACAGCCCACTCTCCCTTCTCTCAGAGACGCCGCCCAGAAAAGCCGCCCTGCAGGGGCCGTCCCCACGAGCCCGACTCCCTCAGGGGAAAAGAGATTTCAAAGAGCACAGCTATAATTACTGCGTAGTTACTGCGCTGCAGACATGGGCTGAACCACCACATTCTATGTCACGTTAAAACTCACACCTTGAAAAGTAGCCCGTGTTTGTATCATTCTCTCCATTTTACGGATAAGACAGTTAACACAGTTTGCCCAGGACGCAGCCAGTAAGCGTCAGAGACAGGATTTGATCTCAGATCTGCCTGGCTGAAGTTCCAAAGCTCCATCTCAAAAACTAAAAACAAGGTCAGCCCAGGGCTGTTTGGTGAGAAGCAGTCCAGGCAAAATGCCTAAGGCTGGGAAAGGTCAGCTGAACTGCCCAACACTAAAAAACTGCATTGACTCCAAAATAAAAAGAGAAAATGAGAAAAACCTAAATGCTTAAAAAAAGCTTTTAAAAATGACAGCAAAATAGCATCATGCGTGTTAACCACAGTTCACATCTTATCTAGAGTTTTATACCAGTGATGTTTAATGAGGGGCCTACACACATTCTGATAAAGCTGAGGGGCTCCACCACCACGCTCACCACACCTTCTCCTGTCCCTACCTGGCCCTGCCAGCCTATTACCAATGCCACCTGCCCAGCTTCTGCAACAAAAGCAGGAAGGAATACCGACAGGACCGGAGGAAACGGCAGGAGGTGCTGCTCTGAGCAGCCTCCTGACAGCCACTTCCTATTTCAGGCTTCCTGTCTGCAGAATGGGATAATATCTTTGTCCTAGCGAACTCCCAGACTGGCTCAAATAAAACCATCTTTTAAAACGCATGAAGCCCCTCATGGTCTATCCCCAAAGCCCATTTTATAAAGGATGATAATTTCTCAAAATAAAAGATACAGGCTCAAATCAAAACACTATATATAAATACTTTTCAGATGTGAAAAAGATTTCCCAAGGTCATATGTTATTCTGTTCTATCACAGACCTCACACGGTTTCAGATTTCCAAGGACAATTACCAACAGTTATATAGCACTTTGCATTTCTTTTCCTATTCAACCATCCTCTGCTGCCAGGTACCTGGGACTCTCTCTCCATATTTCTCTGTCATGGAGGCGGTTCACCTGAGAGGTAGAGAGGTGAGGTGATAGTTCACGGGCTCCCAGACAGTGACAGCGGAAGCCTGCAAAGCTAACCTGGACACCGCCTCTTAGTAGCCATTTGATGTAACTCTGAGCCTAAACCTCTCATTTGGAGATGGGCATGATAAGAAACACCTTTAAACATCATTTAACCCTAGGAGGTTAAACAAGAAAAAGCATGAGAGGTGACTCACACAGTTACTATGTCGTATGTGCCAACACAGACGCACGCCATCGTCATTTGTTGCCACCGTAGGTGTATCATCACAGCATGCGTGAAACTCTTTCCTCCCCAAGCCTCACCCAAACCAACACAGGCGTTAAGTTTCTTTACAGGAATAAAGAGCTCGGATCCGAGGTCCCTGGGGAGGCTGGGCAAAATGTCAGGCTGACTTTGCTTCTCAAGATCAAGCAATGAGGGCGGGGAAGTAAGACACCGAGGAGAAAGGAGAGTGAACAGTGGGCACTGAGGCAAGCAGGGGGCCAGAGGGGGCCAGGCAGGAGGCTGGGCTGCTCAGAGCCCGTGCCCTGACTCCACAGACCTGTCGCACATCTCTGAGTGGCAGCTGGGGAAAGCCCGAGGCCAGGGCGCAGTCTAAAAACAGGCCCAGGTGAGTGGGGAGGTTCCTGGCAACCTGGGTTCGCTTCATTAGCCACAACTCGGATCCATGTTGTCACAGGGAAATATAAACAAGTTTGTTCAAAAGCTGGCGTCACGTGGTCCCAGGCTGGGAACCAAAGGTGACCCTCCCCACTCCCACCCCTTTAGTGCAGGGCTTGTGGGGAAGGAACCGCTGGGACGCTCTGGCTAGCCGGCTTGTTAGGTCCCGACCGTCTGCAAATACCCAGGTCAGGCTGGCCCCACAGCCTGCCCAGCCGCCCGCGACGACCTGGGTTCACATCGGCTTTGCTCCAGTTTTGGAGCCATCTTGAGCATGGGTGACCTTGAGTCAAGCTTTGAAGGGTAAATGACTTGGGCCCAAAGGGCAGGGTACCCTGGGCAGGAGGCTCAGCCTGTCCAAAGCTGTGTAAGCCTGACAGTGTCCAGGAGGCAGAACAGCACCTTACAGGTCTGTCCTTCTGAAAAACAATTCTAGTGGCCGTTTGTGGGAGAGGTTGCCAAGAGGTAGCGAGAAGCAAGCTGGCGGAGTGGGTCAAATGCTCCCCAAGCTCAGTCTACTCTCTAATTATTGTGGTAATTCTAGACAAAGAAGTGTCCTATGACGTGATGGAGAAGGACAGAGAGCTGGCAGAAAACAGCAACGTGCAGGACCAGGACAAGGTGAGGTGGGAGCGGTACTGACGGTGCAAAATTTAACAAGGAGTCGCTCGTAACTGTGCAGGTGCCCCACGTGTGATGCCTCCCTAAACTTTGCACCCTGGTGCCTCTCCTCACCCTGGTGCCGTGGAGGAGACCATAATTTCCAACACCCTCTATGGGTGGTGCCCTGTGATCCCCGCACGGTGGCAGTGGCCACGGGGATTCAGCAAGTCTGGCTTCCCTGGAAGAAGGTTAGCGCGCAGATGCAGGTGCACCAGCAGTGGTACCTGAATCCACGTCTCGACTCGACTCTGTCATCTCAGTGAGTTGGTCTCTTTACAAAACGGAAGAGGACGGGCAAGTACCGGGTTTGGTGCTGAGCCTCCTTCTGGAAGTGGGCTTGGTAAAAATAAAAATAAGTGCGGCTCCACAGCCAGCCTGGAGCCTGCGGGACACACTCCCTTTGGACCCGAATCCCGTAGGCTCAAGAACGGGCTGTTTGTTTAAAAGGTCTTCCTGGGAAGAGAAAAAAGAAAAAGCTGCAGATTGCTGGATATGTTTTCCTGCTCTTCCAACAGATATTTATGAGGAGTCCCCCACTGCAAGCTTTGTTCTGGTGCTCTGGGTACAAACACCTGAGCCCTCTGCCTGCAGGAAGCTTCCAGTAACTATGGGGGAGCTCCAGGGTATTAACAAGCAGTTATATACACAAAGGAAACAATTTCCTGTAGAACTAGGGCTATGAAAACAACCAGGTTGGGCAGAGGGCCTGAGGGGTGGGTGGCAGCTCCAGATAAGGCGAATGTAGGGAGGATGTCTCTGTCAAAGTTCTTTTTGAGTATTCTGTGAGGGAAGGAGAGATTTGCATGGGGGTAGGGCAGGAGGCACGGGTGGGGGAAGGCATCAAGTGCAAAGGCCCTGAGGTGCAACCTTTAATTTTGTTACCTGCTTTGAGTCAGGTGTACAGTGTTGGGGCAGGATTTCTGAACGAGAGAGAAACAAATGAGTTCCTGGACCTGATTCAAAGTAGCACACCTCCATCTCTATCTAAGTCTCTACACCCCCTCCCCACCCCCCATCCAAAGGACACCTTATTTGGGTCACAGATAAACAGTCCCATCACTTTGTCTGCCCTGCCCCCAGCCCCTACCCCTTCCTCTGGCCTGGCCTCAGCTTCACCACTGACTTGTCCCTTTCTTTCTGGAGCCACAGAGCCCTCCCTGATGGAACCGGCTCTTTTCCTGCCCAGCCGCCCGGCTTACCGGGCTCCACTTTGCCTGCTTATGTGTAGAGGTGGAAGGTCCCCAGGCCTCGGGTTCCCTTATGGTGGGAATCAAAACGACGATACGGAGAGACCTCTTCCTTAACCACATCACATCTTCTCTCAACTGGAACGTTGCTGGCACCTAATTTCAGTGCATCTGATGGAGCCCATAGAGTATTGTGGACTTTCACAGCTACAGTTGGCTATGAAAATGAATCTGATATCCTCATGTTATCCACAAGGAACTGAGGCCCTAAGAAAGGGGAATAACTCACCCGAATTCCACAGGATTTGGGAATTGGGAATAGGTCTTAGGGCAAGCACTTTAAAACGGTCAGAGACATTTTCCACATACTATTTCCATTTTCACAGAGGACAACACTGAAGCACAGGGAGAGAGTGAGTGACCTGTGTCCAGGGCTGGCAGGAAGTGTTTGGCAGAGCTGGCCTTGAATCCGGGTCTTCTCATTAGAAATCCAGTGTTCTCATAATTTTGCCATGCGCTTGTCTTCTTAAAAGAAAATTGAAAAGTTAACATTCCAGAAAATTCCAGAGCAATGTTGGGGGAGAAAAAGTTACCCTCCCCCATGATTACCTTTCCTACTTACTGAAGTGCCCCATAGGCAATGAACTCAGTAGAAGGGAGAGTCTCTTTCTGGGGAGATACGACATTAAGTCTCTGAACAGAGCCACAAATGATATTTGAATGCCAATACTGGCTCAGTTTACTTGGGCACTTTCTCTTGAAAGAAACCCCCCTCTCACGCCTGGGAGTTCCTGGGGACAGGGCTCCAACAGACCAGAGAAGGGCCTCTTGCCGCAGGCTCTGCAGTCAATGTATCATTTTCTCTGCTTTTCACCAAATTTCTCTTGTAGTATTTTTGGCATTTTAATTTTAGATACAGGTGAGGGACTTTTTAACTGAAGTCTAACGTAAGTATCACTAGAATCATATGCAATCTTAACCTATTTGCAGCTTTCAAGCAAGGCAGAAGAGACGGCTTTATGAAGAAAATAACAGGCAGGGTATGGACCTCTTCACCACTCCTCAGGGCCACCTTCCTCACGGGGGGCTGCCTGCTGCTCCCACAAACACCGGGTGCAGGCAGAGGGCTGTCCCAGAAAAGAGGCCCATCTGGGAGTCAGACAGGCCTAGGTTTACGTCCCGGCTCTGTCCCTCACGGGCTGTGGGATCAGGGCCCTGCTCTTTAACTTCTGGGAGGTTAGAGACCTTAGGTATCCTTATTCTACAGATGAGAAAACTGAGGCGTAAGTTAAGAAATCTGTTGAATTCTGCATCACTATTAAATGACAGGTCGGGGTTGAGACCACATTAGTCTGGTTTCAAAGCCCAGACGGCAGGGCACACTGCTCCTCCACAGGGCTGTCATCCTTGTTGACCCCCAGAGGAACACATTTTGATGGAATGCGCTTATAGAAATCATGACTATCAAGTAACAGGGTCAATTTTAAACTAGTATTTCAGAATGTAAAAATAAATAAATAAATATATATATATCAATATGCATGTGTGTATACATGTATATGAATATGTATATGTATGTAAATGTGTGATATAAATATGCATATGTGTATGTATATGTGTACACATACAGCAGGATGGATACCGTAAATAATGTATCTCCAAATGTATATTATGTGCTTCTGTCACAGTGGGAAAGATGATACACTTCTCACAACTAAATTGCTGTAACTGCTGGCTTATGAGCCACAGGAGAATCTCAGAATCAAGGCTTTCCAATCCCACTAGTTTTGACCTAAAATTTTATTAACCAGCGTCATCACCCTCTTGAGCTTGTTTGAAAATCATATTTTGCCTCAATGCGCAAGTTAGGCCATGACTGAAGACTTTCAAAAGACGAATGCCATGTACTTGGAAGGCAAATTCGCAGTATTTCTAAATGACTGAATGACTTCGGTGACGTGATCACGATGGCCCCAGAAGGGCCCTGGTCTGAAGTCCCGGCTCTAACCGGACATGCGGCTTTGGGAACGTCGTACCGCCTCTCTGTTTTGCTTCCTCTCCTGTAAAGCGGTGAGGGCGGGCTAGAGGATGTTTTAAGTCCCTTTAGTTTCTGAGTCTATCAGCATCTTGAAGAGGCGACCGTAATTTGACTGCCTAAGCTCTAGTATGTTTATCAGAACGTTAGCTGCCTTCCCGTCTAGTCACACCTAATGACGCCCGGGTGGCCGGCGGGTCCTTGTTGGGGAGTGAGTGCGGCAGCCCTGTCCATCCGCCCACTTCTCACCTCAGCTGCTGCCTTACTTACTCCCTTCAACCCAGAGCCCACAGGGTGTGACAGAACAGATGAGAACGTGCCTTCTCCTTACCACAAACGTGTTCCGGGGCCTTTACTTCCTTCCAGGACCTGATTTCTCTTGATTCCTGGCTACACTAGCCCCTCAGACAGCTTTCCTGGAACTCCTCACCACAAAGGATGCCCCTTGGTAAAGCAGCTCCCCAACATTTACCCTCTGCTTCCCCAGTGGGTTAGGCTGGAGAACTGCTCTCTCCTCATCATTCGTAGGGACTTGGGAAGACATGCAGGCCATAGGGAAAGCTTGTTGGAGACATGCTCCCCCGGCAAGTTGGGGGGCGTCCCAGTGTTCAATTTCTGCAAAACAGAAACCCCCCAACCTCTAGTGACCTGGTGGTTAAATTCGAAAAGCTCAGTGGTTTACAAATCCGCTTCAATCCACCTCCTTCCCTTTTGTTGCGAAGCGCCATCAGGAAATCATCCGAAGAGGAGGAAGGCACAGCGGTGGTTCCCAGCGAGCGTGGCCTCCGGCGTCTGCAGCCGGCTACCCACTCTTGGCCGCTAGAGGACAGAGTTCAGTACAGTGCGTAGTGGGGGAAGTGGGGAGCGGGATTGGGGCAGGGGGAGGGGGCGGGACTCTCCAGGAAGCTGCAGGAGCGAGCTCAGCAGAATCATAGGAAGCGGGGCTCAGGTGTGGGCTTCCTCGGTTACTTTGTTATCTTCCATCTCAGGCAGGTTCTGCCAGGTGCTTGCAGGCCTTCCGCCCCACCCACGTTTATTCTAGAAAACAAAGAGGCAATAATACACCTGGGCCCCCTGCTAGCGGCGCCTTGCTTAGGTTGGTAGACTGCAACCTTCTGAGGGCAGAACTGCTTCTCCTTTGCCTGCAGACGTCACTCAGTAGGACCACAGGTACACTTGGCTTTGTAACAAACAAGAACACAAACATGCTGAGGCTGGGGAATAGGGACTGGCTTCCTTCTGAGGGATTTTGCACAGACCAAACTGTTCAGAAAAGCAAAACAAGCTGCCCATATTTAGGGCGCTGCCATCTCTGCCAGTTTGTGATTAGTCAGCAAGGAAGAAGGTACCTTTAAGGAAAAGAATTACAGACTGGAAGAGACCAAGCAAGAACTGTGCTTGGGGATAGAGTTTGCTTGAAACTTGCCCCGCCCTGCAGCCCTCTGGGAGACTTGTTCCCAGTATAATTATACTAAATACACATGGTTGGGTGAGCTGGCTAGCAACTAGGAGGTGGCCACTGTCCCTGCACGTTTCAGCTGGCTAATAGACACACGGCAAAGAGAAAAGGGAATGGCTGGCAAGTGACTTCTGAATATCAAAGCACTGTGCGTTCCCACGACTCCCCTTTCTATCCCAGCCAAAGGGATCAGAGGACACCCAGCATTTCACTATTTTCCCAGCATTACGGACGACTTCCCAGGCTGGTGGCCGGGCATGTCTGCAAGGTCAAGGTGGACGCGGGTAGACTGGGTGGAGATGGGTGGGTAGCCGTCCGCAGTCCACGCCGGCCTCCACCTGGGCTGCTCTGCGGACCCCTGGTCTCCGCAGCGTGATCCGGAAGGTTAGTAATAATCACAACAGGCAGAGCCCACTGTCTGGCTGAGAGGTTTACAATTTAAACTCACGGCAGTGGGAGAAATTGGCTCAATCACTTGGAGTAATGGTACAGGGAGAGCAGTTGGGCATGACTGCTATTTAACTCAGGGAACAGGGGCGCCGCGCTCCACGGTCACACACGGATCAACACGTCGTGCTGTGGGGTGGGAATGAGCACCACCCCTGCACTCTGCCCGTCTGGATTCCTTTTGCCTGCTTGACTCATCCCGACCGGATAAAAGGGACAAGACTGGGAGAACAGGCCACAAACAGGCTCACAGCTACAATCCCATCAGTACTCACAGGTCACCCTTCCCTCCTTTAAAGAGAGTTAAAGTTTACCTATCACAGATCTTACACCACATGTTAAGGCATCTTGTAGCGGGGAGGGTGCAAGGTGATGTGACATAAGCACCCCTTGTGCGTTTTCCTAGCAACCCTAGTGAGGTGGGGCCTGTTACTGCCCCCAGTTTACAGGGGCGGACACTGCAACTCGGGCGTGTACATAGACAACCCAAGAGGTGGGAAGTGGCATCTGAACACAGGCCCGTGTGGATAACCAGAGCCTGAGCTCAGCCTGGAGAAGAGGAGCTGGAGATGAGCGCTGGTCTGAACAGCCCCAGTTTCATCCCTTAAGGTCTCGAGCACAGTGAGGCCTCCCTGCCCGCCCTTCCCCAGCGGTCATGCTGCTTTCCTACCATAAACGAGGGCTCAGCTTCTACCAGGTGTAAGTACTGCAGATGCACTGGGAAGCCCGCGGTCGCCCTTGTCCCCAGAGAGCTCACAGTCTGGCTGAAGAGGCAGCTAAAGAAACAGGTTCACAGGAAAAAGGGTGAACCGGAAACTGCCAGGACCTTGCCTAGTTTTCTCCTTTGCCCATCCACCCTCCAGTCCCTAGAGGGACCTGTCCTGTGTATAACCCAATTGTCAGGAGGACTTGGGGGCAACCCCGTTTCCCCAGCCAATATCGCAGCTCAAGCGTCACGGCCCTGCAGCTGAAAGACAAAACAAGGCATCTATACGCTCCTGGAGTCAAGTCACAGACAGGGAAAGGATTCCTCAGGGGAGTTTTTCTAGGCCACTGCTGGAAACGGCACTTCTGCTCACAGTCCATGTGTTGCCCAGGACTTAGTCACGCGCCCTGTGTGTACCTAAGCACAAGGTACGTTGATACACGTCACCCAGTGTGTGCTTGGGAAGATGCCCAGAGAGTAGCTGGTCCGTCTCTGCCAGGCCTGGTAATGGCAGAGCTAATCTGTCAGCTGGTTAACTGATAGTTGTTTGGGATTGGGACTACAAGGCCACTGTGGGAGTAATGACCAGTGTCATTCACATCAATTCATTTGAGTTCAGTGCAATTTAATAAGTATTAATGCTCCTAGAACATTGAGAAAAGCTTGGTTCTAGGCCCCTGAAGGAGACATAAATTGAAACAGAACACAGTTATACCTTCAAGGAGCTGAATACAATTAAATTCAGAAGCTATCCTCAACCCTTACCTATAGCCTATTGACTTTTCAAGGGTTAGTGAAACACCCACAGCTACAAAGAATTCTGCCCTAAATGTTGGGGTGCAGAGAACAGTCCCTCCTCTCCTGGATTCCTAAAACACTTGGTGTCTATTGTGTGTTCGTTCATTTCATTCCATTCATTCCCCAACATTTAACAAGCAGAGGCCTAGGCTGCTTGACAGTGTGCTAGGCTCTGGAGGTTAGAGGTGGGAATACTGAGACCTTCCCTTACACAAACTCACAATGGTGTGGGTGGTCAGAGGGCACACCACCCAGATACAAGGCAGATGGTGGTAAATCCTACGATAAATGTTCAAAAAGTGCTAAGGGGCTTATGGAGAAGGGAGAAATTCTTTCTGGCTGGAGTGGGGTGGAAAAGGTTGCATCAAAGTTCCAACGGTGACCCCCCAAAGAGACAAAGGACCCTGCCCTGGCACAGGAGGCTGATTCAGAGCCTCTGGCCCAGACCCTGTACCGCACCTACTCAGCCCCAGTGGGAAAAAGGCAGTGAGCTTTTCTTAAGGGAGAACTCTAAGGCAGTCCTCCACTTTCATCTTAGAAATTAAGATAAAGTTTGAATCCTACCCCACAGGATACCCATGTTTGTTTTGCTATAATAATTTTAACAGAATTGGCTTAAGTTACCTGTCACTGAGTGAAAGCAGTTCCTCATATGCCTTGCGTGCCCCGGACATACCACTTCCATTAGAAGAGTACCTGCTCCTAAATTCAGCTTCTGCGTGGTTGACCGCAAGTTCAGTTTTCTCTGATCCCTCGTCTTTAATCCTTGTCAGAGCAAACGAAATAGTCCGCTTCAAGGACTCTGCGACGGTCTTCTGCTTTGTGAGCACGCAGCATGGTGACCGCGAGTGAGCTGTGATGGACACAGCGGCTTCCATGCCCTGCCCTCACACCCGGTGGGCACGAGCTCTCTCGGGACCACGGTGCTTCTGGCAAACCTCCAAGGAATGTGGCCCTTCCAGGTCCTGCCCATAACTACAAGCACACCTCCTTTGCCTGCTTCAGCGTGCTTCACAGACACTGCCATTAAAATAAAAGAAACAAATTGAAGGTTTTTAGGAACCCTGTACTGAGCAAATAAATCTATTGGGCCATTTGCTCATTTTGTGTCTCTGTCACAAATTTTGGTAATTCTTGCAATACTTCCAACTTTTTCATGATTATTGTATTTGTTATAATCGATGAAGCAAACTTTATTGTCGTCTTATTTTAAGAAACTGCCACGGCCACCCCAACCTTCGGCAGCCACCGTCATCTGTCAGCAGCCATCAGTATCTAAGCCAGACCCTCCACAGGTAAAAAGTTTGTCTGGCTGAAAGCTCAGGCGATCTGATCATTAGCATTTTTTATCACTAAAGTCATTTTAAGTTGGGGTGTGTACATTGTTTTTTAGACACAATGCTATTGCACACTTTAGACTATAGTATAGTGTAAAGACAATTTTTTCCTGCACTGGGAAACCAAAAAATCATTTGAATTTTGTTATTGAGATATTTGCTTTCTTTTGGGGTCTGGAACTGCCCTGGAGTATCTCTGTTGTGTGTCTGTAGGGCGCTCCTCTTCTAAAACAGCAGCGGTGCACTTAAGTCTATAATGGTAAACACCTCAAAAGTTTAACAGTTGGCTATTTAAAGTTAAACAGGGTAAGAAAATGTTATATACTTCCCTTCTCCCAGGCTTCCCCACAATGAAACACCAAAGTGTTAAAAAAAAAAAAAAAAGCCCGTTTCTGATGAGGACCTGGGGGTTAATTTTCAGCATGGTGCCTGGGGACGTAGCTGTGGGGATGCCATTACCCGTAATGGGACTCGCTGCCTCATTTTGTGCACGGGATATGCAGACTGCACCCCTCGACAGCCACAAAATTTTAGTTTTGAAATTGAGGCCAGTTTTCTCAGAACAAAGCAGTTTTCCAGAAACACCAAAAACTACTTTGTACTGGCCCGGGGCCTGTGTGTTTATGTTCTGTGTATCCAAAAGGGAGAAAATGCCTTTCTCCAAAGGGCAGATGCTCCTCGCAAAGACAACATTAACACATTATGCCCAATAGCTTGACAGCAATGGCTGCTGAATCTCACCCCAAAGCTTTGTTAGGAACCCTATAAAACCTGGCACATGCTTTGTGACACCCCGTGAAACACTGCTACTTCCATAATAACCTGAGCTCTGCTGCCTGTCATCAAGGGACCTCTCTTATTAAGCATCTCTTTCTTAAATGGCTGCCATCATCTGGTCCCAGTGTACATTAAATCCCATTATAATTATAAACACACTTCCCCATAACATCCCTTGCAGATTTCATCCACACTGCCTACCCCCTTAGGGCATCTTTGCACTAATAACAACTCAGATTTGCTGTTCGAGTTGACAACATCAGGTCCCAACACCATTTGCAATATGCTGAGGAGAGAGAGGGAGAAGACAAAGCTTTCTCTTCCTCGATCATGAAGATCCTGGGGTCACAGTGACCCAAGACCTCAGGGGCTAAAAGAAATAAGCCCTTTTCTTCTCCCTTTGAAAAGCCACTCTCTGCCTAAAGATGAGAGGAAGGCCATACTTACTACCTGGAAGAAGAGCCCAAGTTTGTAAACACTGCCACCCAGAACTCAGGGGAAAGGGGGTGATTAGTAATCAAAGAAGCCATCTTATTTGGTTTTCTGGACTTCGACTAAGCAGAGCCCACACGTCACCTGATTATCTCCCCCTCTATAGTCTGCAGGGGTCATCTATGGGAAGTACCAGAGCATAAAAGAACTAAACTTAAAAAAGAAAAAGACAAACCGAAGAAAACTAGCAGCATATGCACTGAGGGCAAATTTTGACACGTCTGCATCTATCTGGTAGATATCCTCTGTGGTGACCTTGAAGCGCTGTAAGAGCCTTCGCCTCCAGGAACAGACACAGTAGGTCTGCTGTGTCTTCCCCCAAGCGTCCAGAGTGGAGTGAAGACCTGAGGGTGCAAGTGACAGCCTGGCGTGTCCTCCAGTGGCAACCCGGAGTTCTTAACTGCAGAAGAAACCTTTTTCCACTGATCACAAAGTTTGGGGAAATGCAAAGTAGCTTTGCTCCCCAAAGTAGGAACCCTTGATTTATTTATCACAATAGCAAAGTTTACCTTTAAATGTTAAAACTATTTTCCCAATGAGGAGTTGGAACAAAAGGAGTGTCAACAGTCACTAACCATCAGAATACTCAGAACACCACTAGAACCTTCTGTGGAGTTGAAGTTTTACTGTAATTCAAAACACCCTTCTCAACTTTGGCCTGAGATTTTGAGGAAGGAGGGGAAGTGCGGAGATCCTGGGGACCGAGATCTGTTCACCTGGTGGCCTGAGTCCCTGGAGAACTGCGTGGGCCTCGGTTGGCTGCTGAACCCTTGGCCTCAGTGGAGTAAGAGAACAGGGAAATTACAAGCCCTTGCTTCCCTCTTCCCCCTAGCTAGGGGCTGTATAATCTAGACGTTAACGTGAGTTTTGCTGTGGCAATGGTCTGATTTAAAGTCTCAGCTCTGATATTTAATAGCTGTACAGCCTTGGGTAAGGGATTTAAGTAAGTCCCTGAGACTCAGTTTTCTCATCTGCAGAAATGGGGCAAATAACAGTACTTGCATTAATAGTGCAGTTATAAAGATTGAATAAAACACTATATAGATGGTGTGTTAAGATTCAGTCAGTGCTCAGAGAGAGTGAAGATTCCACATTGTCTTCCTGTAGGATCCCTTAGCCCTCGTACACCTTCCTTTTCCACTAACAGCTCTGAAAGGCTGCTACCAGCAGGAGGTGTGTGAGTAACGGAGGACAGGAGGAAATTAGAGGAGTCGGCTGTGCAATTCCATCCAGAGGTCAACTCCCTTACCCTCCTCTCCAGCATGACCTCCTGGCAAGACCGACATCTCCCGTTTTTAGGACCCGACGGAGTTGACCGTTGCAGTTTCCCGTAGCACATCCTTCAAGGAAAAAAAGTTAAAGAAAAAAAACTACAAATATCTCAACAAGAAAGAGAGGGAGAGAGGGAGAGTTAATTTTCTCTTGTAATTTTCAATCCTGCCTGTTTCCAGGTGCTGTCATATGAAATCTGTGAACTGGGGATTCTCATCAGTCCTCTGGGGACCCAAGGACGTCGCTCTGGCTGTAAGTGATGCCAGCTTTGGCGGGGGAGCGGCTGCCACTTTATCTGGGCCCAGTAAACCTTATCAAACTGCTGTGCAGCCAGCCTTCAGCGCTAAGTGGAGATGCTCGGAGCCCAGTGCTGGCACTCAGCCCGCAGCCTCCCCTGCCTTCCTCCTCCTCACCTACCTTCTCCACCTCTTAAATGCAGGCATTAATCTCGCTTTAACACTTACTAACAAGGGTTGGGCTTTTTAATGGGCAGAGTTTATGAAGCAAGGGAGATTTTCACAGAGTGAACATGGCACAGAGGTGGGGCGGTCCAGGGTCTCAGAGGGATTGTTCTTTCTCTCATTGTTTCCAAAGATTCCCTCCTTCTCTGATTTGAGGATTAATAGGTTAGGATCAAGGGTTAATTGTGTGTTTCTCCTGCTATTGCGCTCGGGAGGGGCCGGCTGGCGGGTGTGGACAGTGAGGCAGCACCTTCACCAGGTGCCACCTAAGCGGGTGCTCAGCAAGTTTAATGATTCTTCTGTTTCCTTGGTGAGGCCTTAGGAGTCTTTCTCCTCTGCTTACATCCTCCCCTATTGCTCTCCTTGCAGAACAATTCTGTCTTAACTTTCTTTAAGTCCCTTTCCCCTTATGGACTGTGTAGACCTTAACCAGGAAGAATGGTCTTTAATAACGACTGCTCTGTATTGTTAAAAAGGGGCTTCTCAGGGCATAGGTCAGATGTCGCTGGGTTGTGAGGTACCAGAGCACAGCTGGCCCTTCCTTCGCTGTGCCCCCTGCCCAGCGGCTCTGGTCCTGCTGGGTGCCTTCCCTGCCCGTGGGAGGGGGGACGCCTGCTGGGGTGGGCCTGCCTGTCCTCGGGATTGACTTAGCCCCCTGGCAGCTCTTGGGACCCGCGACCGGTTCTGAGAAGTAAACCCACTTGTCTGGCCCTCCTCGGCCCCAAGAGGGTTTTTGCCCCGTTGGCCTCTGTCCGTCTCCTTGAGCCTACAGTTCTGGGGGCCCGGCGTTCGGTCTGGGACGGTGCCGGCGGCCCGCGCTGGCATATGAGTGTCCCGAGGGCTGCGGGAAGCCTTCGACCCACCCGCGTGTCAGAGACGGGCTGTTGGCACTCAGCACGCCCGGGATCGGAGCCCCGCGCGCGTTGCTAAGGCCGTGTGACCTCCCGGACTGCCTGTCCCGAGACCCAGGGAGGGCGCTCTGCACCGCCCCTGGCGCCGCGCTCCCGGACGGGGGTTAGCTGGCCGCCGCGGCCGCTACCGGAGAAGCGCTTCCCGCCCGCGCCCACCTTCGCCAGGCTCCGGGGCAGGGGAAGGGGCTCTCCGCCGCCGAGGGAGCGCAGTGTTCTGCCGTTCTGCCCCGGGGTTAGTGGCGTCCCCTCCACCCTCTCAGGTTCGGCGGCCAGCGGGGAGGAGGAGGTATTTGGGGGGCCCGGAGCTCCTTCAGGCTTCCTCCGCGCCCTGCAGACCGCGCCGGGCAGAGTGCAGGTCAGGGGAACCGCGTCCAGCAGGGCCCCCTGGGGGGCAAAGCCGAGGGGCTGCTCGAGACGGGGGGTAGGGGGGTGGGGCAGTGCTTCCCAGGCCTCCACCTCGGCCTCCAGGGATCGCGGCAGCTAAGACGGGGCGTCTCCCCCGACGGCTGGTCCCGCGGCCCCTCCGGCACCGGGGTCACGGGGCCCGCGAACTCTGCGCCTGGGGACTTGTCGCCGGGACGCGCGCCCCCCGGAGGCGCGAAGGCCGGGCGCGGACCGGTGTCGGGTACAGCGTGTGCAGCCCCGAGCCCGGGGAAGCGTGGCGGGCGAGGTGGCACGCGCCGGGCCGGGGACGAAACTCCGCGCCGGAGCCGCAGCGCCGCGCGAACCCGCGTCCAGGGGGCACGGAGAGCCCGGGGCTGCGGCGGGGGCCGCGCCGCTCCTCCCTGCTCCCGGCCGGGCGCCCGGCGGCAGCTAGGTGTCAGGCGAAGCCCGGAGCGCGGCGGGCGGCGCGGGCGGGGCGGGAAGGGGGCGGCTGTGGGCAGGGAGCCGGCTCGGCCGCCAGCACTAAAGATGGAGAGGCGCCGGGGCCTCGCGGGGGAGGGGGCTCGGCGTTGACGTGGGACGCGGCGGAGGCGCCGCAGCCGGCGGTGATTTGCTAACCTCGCGGCAGACAGGAGTGGAGGGCGATGAGAGCGGGTTCTGCGAACTGCCGCCGCCGCCGCCGCGACACCGAGAGCAACAGTTCCCCGGCCGGCGCCCGCCTCGGCCCGGACGCACCCCCGAGACGCGCGCCCGGCCCGGCCGCGGTGAGTTGGGGCCGCGGAGGGCGCGCCGCCCGAGAGCCGCGCGCAGGGCGCCCCGGGGCTGGGGAGGTCTCAGGGGCGCGCCCGCCCGGCCGCGGGGCCGCCGCCCGGTTTTCTGGGGCGAGCGCCCTCCCCGCTGCTGCCGTCGGCGCCGCCGCCGGTCGGGGGTGGGCTGGGAGGGGGCGCCCCGGCTGTCAGCCCCTCCCCGGCCCGCCCGCCCCGGGCCACGGTCGGGGTGCGGCGTGCGGAGCGGTCTGCCGGGCCCGGGCGCGCGAGCGGAGGGCCGGGCTCGGCGGCTTTGTACGGCCGGGGGCCGGCGGAGGGGCCGGGGCCGGTGGGAGCTGCGGGGTCCGCGGGCCGCGCGCGGGCGCCGGGTGGGGTCGCGGCTCGTGTGTGTGTGTGTGTGTGTCTTCGCCGGCGGGCTGGGGAGCCAGGGGCGGAGGACCCGAGAGCGGACCGTGGGGCGGCGGGGGGCAGGACCGGGGCCCGCTTGGGTTTTGTTTCTCTTTGGAAAACGTGGTGGGCATTTTTCCTGGTCGGACTTGATCCCCCCGGCGTGGGGGGAGGGGCGGCCGCGGCGCAGCTCAGGGTCGCCAGGGCTCCGGGCCCCGCTCGGCTCTCGGCGGGACCCGCCGCGGCGCCGGAGCTCGCGTGCGCTCCCGGCCGCGCCCGGCGGGTGCCCGGCTCTGCACCTGATGCGTCAGGACGCCTCCCGCAGCCCGGCGCGCCGGCGGCCGGCCCGCACAGCCCCGGGAGCGCTCCCGCTCGCGCTCGCAGCGCGCACGGTGCCGCCGGCCCGCGGGCCCCGGGGCGCACGGACGCGCCAGGCACTGCCCGTGGCTCCCGGGGGGCCGCGGCCCGGGTCGGAGGGGGAGGGCCGGCAGGTCCCCCCCTTGCTCTCGCTCCCACTGCCCGCCGCCGCGCTTCCGTGCTGCCCCTTCTCCGCGGGGCGGTCCGCCGCCTCGCCCCCGTCCGGCCCGCCCGGCCTCGCGCCTCCCATCCGCGTCGCTTCCCGCCTCCCCTCGCCCGGCTCCCTTTCTCCCGTCCGGCTCCCCGGGAAAGTTGCTTTCCCAAGTTTGCACAAGTCGTCTCCGAGTCTCCGCAGGGCTGGCTGGCGGCGCGGGGTGCGGGAGAACGCGGTCCGTCCCCGGGGCTGGCGGGTCGGCGCCGCGGTTCCCCGGGCCGCCGGGTCGCACGGCTGGCCGAGGGCGCCCTGGCTTTCCCCAGGACCCCAGGAGCCTGCTTTGGGGACGAAACCCGGGCGGGGCGTCCATTCTTCCGGCGGATCCCTACTAGTTCTCCGAAAGCGCCAAGTCTGTGGGAAAGCGCGCAGTGGCGAGGCGCGGAGGACGGCCGTGCCACCCGTGGCCGCCTCCGCCCCCACCCCAGGGTGGGCAGCAGCATGTCTTTATTACCGCCCGGCTAACCCTTCGTGCGTAAAGATCCGAGGCCCTGGAGCCAGCAGGGCTTCTTGCCGGGGCGAACGCAGGGCTCCCCGTGTGAGCCAGAGCCCTTGCCCTGCTGGGCCTCCAATTCCTTTCGCGGCAGCGTCACTGTCGGGCCGCAGCACGGCGGCGGCGGGGACCAGGGTTCGGGAAGTCTTTCCAGCAGTGCAGACGGGTTGGGGAGCCCCGCAGCTCTGGTACGGATCCCCAGCAGCACTTGGGGAGAGGCCTTTGTCTCCTAGGCCTGTCCTCCCTTCATGCTGCTTGTAAGTCACCCCGCAGATGCTAGTGCCAGTATCACTTCTGGTGCCTCCATAGCCTGTCCGGCGTCCGTGGCTGCCCCTGGTCACAGGACTTGCCAACTCCCGGAAGCCTGTGGGACACCTTGGGAGTTCTGCTCAGTGTGTGAGCTCTGGCTGTAGGGGTGCATGTGTCCTGTGAATCTTCTCCTTAGATCCTTCATGACCTGCTCCCTTACATTTTATAGGTCTTCCTGGCCACTGGGCACTTGAGGGCAAGGGGTTAAGCGTGGCACCTATATATATAAGTGTGCACACCGTGTTAACTCTCCCCCTCTCTGGCTGCTGTGCACACACACAGTCCGGAGTTTTGCATATTTTGCACATGCAATGACCAAGGCACGTATGGGCGGAAGTGAGCCAAGCTGGCGTGGGGGTTAGGCACGTGTGCTTGCTAGTGCCCAAGGAGGGGGTCAGGGCGGGCGGGCGTCGGTCAGTCTTCTGCAGCCCTGAGCAGAGGAGCAGAGGCCCGGGGAGGCTGTGGCGGATGGAAGATGGGCCTGCGGAGGGCCCTTGTCCTTAGATTTCTGAGGACCAGGAACGGTGGGCTTCTAGTCCCCGCTGGGCCTGGCTTTGCTTCTCCGCCTACTGCAGTGAGGCACGGGGTTGAGAGTGGAACTGCTTCACTTGACTAAAGGAAGGGGTTAAATTCTTACTCGTTTGGAGTCAGTGCCCGGCCCCTCCTCATTCCGAATGCTGGCCTGGCACAGAGACCTTTACTCTCAGATTTAAAGAAAACTCAGGACTCACCAGGCTTTGGTAGTTTTCATTGACTTTGTCACATGGTTTCATAGAGCAGTGGATTAGGTATGGGCTAGGGGGCAGGACCTTCTCTTTACTCATGATCCTTGGCCTCTAAGGGCAGACATAGATTTCTAGCAAATCCTCTCCTCTCCGTTAAAATCTCCAAGACTCTTGCTGGAGGGTGTAGGGAGGCGGAGCTGAATTGTTTGTATTCTTACTTTGAGGGACACTAATGTCCGGTCCTTCCTCTCTCCTCCCCGATGCCCTTCTCCCCTGCAGCTCTCTCCCTTGGCCAAGGAGACACGCCCTGCCCTGCGGCGCCGAGCCAGGAAGGAACGGGAGCCTCATGCCTGAGCCGCGGGCAGCGCCATGGATCTGACGAAGATGGGCATGATCCAGCTGCAGAACCCCAGCCACCCCACGGGGCTCCTGTGCAAGGCCAACCAGATGCGGCTGGCCGGGACGCTGTGCGATGTGGTCATCATGGTGGACAGCCAGGAGTTCCACGCCCACCGCACGGTGCTGGCCTGCACCAGCAAGATGTTTGAGATCCTCTTCCACCGCAACAGCCAGCACTACACGCTGGACTTCCTCTCGCCAAAGACCTTCCAGCAGATCCTGGAATACGCGTACACGGCCACGCTGCAGGCCAAGGCGGAGGACCTGGACGATCTGCTGTACGCGGCTGAGATCTTGGAGATCGAGTACCTGGAGGAACAGTGCCTCAAGATCCTGGAGACCATCCAGGCCTCCGATGACAACGACGCAGAGGCCACCATGGCGGACGGCGGGGCCGAGGAGGAGGAGGACCGCAAGGCTCGGTGCCTGAAGAACATCTTCATCGCGAAGCATTCCAGCGCGGAGGGTGGGTGTGCCAGTGCGGCCGCCCAGAGCCTCCCCGGGGCCCTGGCGGGCCAGAGTCCTTTGGTCTCAACCCCTTTCGGCCTCGCGGCCATGAGTCCCACCAAGGCTGCTGTGGACAGTTTGATGACTATCGGACAGTCCCTCCTGCAGGGGACGCTCCAGCCGCCTGTGGGGCCTGAGGAGCCCGCTCTGGCCGGGGTGGGGAGGCACCCTGGGGCGGCTGAGGTGAAGACAGAGATGATGCAGGTGGATGAAACGCCCGGCCAGGACAGCCCTGTGGTGGCCGAGTCCAGCATCTCAGGCGGGCTGGGGGACAAGGTCGAGGAAAGGGGCAAAGAGGGGCCCGGGACACCGACGCGGAGCAGCGTCATCACCAGCGCCAGGGAGCTGCACTACGGGCGGGAGGAGAGTGCTGAGCAGCTCGCAGCTCCGGCGGAGGCTAGCCAGGGTCCCACAGGCCGAGCAGAGCCCCCCGCGCCTTCTGCCGAGAAGCACCTAGGCATCTACTCTGTGTTGCCCAACCACAAGGCTGACGCTGTGCTGAGCGTGCCGTCTTCGGTGAGCTCGGGCCTCCACGTGCAGCCTGCCCTGGCTGTCTCCATGGACTTCAGCTCCTACGGGGGTCTGCTGCCGCAGGGCTTCATCCAGAGGGACCTGTTCAGCAAGCTGGGCGAGCTGGCTGTGGGCATGAAGTCGGAGAGCCGGGGCACGGCGGAGCAGTGCAGCGTGTGCGGGGTGGAGCTGCCTGACAACGAGGCTGTGGAGCAGCACAGGTAGGAGGCCCCCGCGCCCCCTGCACTGGCGCCTAGTTCCTGGCGGGCACCCTGCCTTCCCTCCCCACTCCTCCTGAGTCCTGGGGCCTGGCACCCCTGTCGTCCTTGCTGTTGGTCCAGAACCATGTCTTTCTCAGTCCTGGGGGCACACTCCTCAAGTGCGGTGAGAGGTCTGGCGCCTCTCCTAAGCACTGGGGAGCTCACAGGCTCAGCTCCTTCCCCGCCCTTACCTCTGGTTTTGCTTCTGCTCGTTTGTTCTGCCTGCTATTGAGCCTGCTGTCCTTGGCCTGGAGTGGCTCCTACAGTGGTGGGAGGGAGACCAGGAAGTGGCCTTGAGGAGGAAGGTCTCCCATGGCCTGGATCTGGCCACGTTGCTGAATTTCAGGTGCCTGGCTTCCTGTGCGTGGGCTTCTGCCAAGATGGGCTGTCTGCAGCTCCAGGGGATGGGGGGCAGGATGCTGCCTAGGCTACCGGAGCAGCTGCAGGTTCCAAACATAAGACCCGATGAGCATTCGTCACCAGGAACACTGTTTGCTCTGCCTTCTCATCCTCTGTCCCTGCAAGTGCATTTAAAGGGAGCTGATGTAAATCTAAGAAGGAAGGCTGCATACAGAGCCTTGGGTTTGCAGTCTGCAGAGCCTTATCCTTATCCCACGTCTGTGCACGTTGAATTGTATGTCCCTTCAGGCTGGCATTGGCTTCCCGTTTGGCTTCTGTTTCCTTCTTCGTGAAATACCATTCACCAGGTTCTCAGGACATGCATGGTTCAGTACTAAGTGTCTTACACGGTGTCGCATTTTGTCACAACAGCCTTCTGAGCTAGGTGGTGTTCTTTTACAAAGGGAGACTTTTTTCCAGGGTCATGTAGATGGTAAGAGGCTGGATTCAGAGTCAGGCCTTAGCCCCTGTGCGCTCTGCTCCCTCCTGGAGACCTCCAGTCCTGGCAGGAAGCGTGTCTGCAGAACAGGGCTCTGAGAGTTGCTCACCAGAAGTGGAGTAAAGTACAGAGGGAATCTGTAGTGGGTTCGGTTTTCATGTGGATCTGTCACGACAACACACCTGTCATTTTACACTCCAGTCCCTGGATCAGATGAATGGTGAGAAACCCCGTTTCTGTTGTCATCCGTGGTAACATTTCCGTGCACATCCTCTTGTCTGCTGTCCTGTGGATCTTGGGTGGATCACCCCCTTTCGTACCCCTCAGCCTCTGCCCCCTTCCTCCGTTGCTCATTCAGGTCAAGGAGGGGGTGAGAATGAGGGTGCCGGAGTGGAGGGGGCTGGAGTCGGTCTGATGAGCCCAGCGGCGCTGGGCTGTGCCCTGAAGCTGCCTCAGCTGCGGCTCTGACTTCACCTTGTGGAAAGTGCTTCTAAGCTAAATGGAGCTGATTTTTTTTCCCAGAGGGTGCAAAAAATAACAGCCCCTGAGGTGTACTTTCTAGAAGCTTGCATTGCTCAAAAGTAGGCCGAGGTTGTGTTTTTCTTGCTCAAACTTTGCTCAAGAGGAAACCGCCTCCCCCAACTTGACCAGAGAGGTCCTTCGTCTCCTGCGGCTGTTTGTTTCAGCTACGAGCTGTGAGACACAGGGCATGGTGAGAAGCAGTTTGTTCCTGGGCCTCCTCAGGGCCTGCTTGCTTCCCTCTACCTGAGGGGGATGGAGGAGATGCCACTCCCCAGGAGTCCTGTTTGCAGTCTGCGGGCCCTGGTTCCCCGGAGAGACGAAGGGCTGGGTTGTACTGCACAGAGCAGGGGTATGCGAGCTGGCCCTACCCAGCGTGAGGCTGGGGTGTTCTGAGCCCGGTTTTGCTCATATCTGAATGGAGGTGGTGGTCAGTGTGTGGTGCTGAACTAGCCCGGTGACATCCAGAATGCCTCGCTGTGATGGGCACGTAGTGAGTGTGAAGGGGAAGAACTGGTCCTTTGGGCCCCCGTTTTGTTTAGGCCCCCTTGGGTCTGAGTTCCAGAGTGCAGGGTCCGCAGCATGGCCTCCCTGGGGGTGTATGGGCTGTGAGGAGGTGGAGGGATGAGCTCAGGATGGCCAGGTGCTGGTCCTGGACTCCTCTGTGTCCTGCCGTGGGCCACTGGCCTAGAGCCTCTGCTTGGGACTCAGGCTGGAAACTTAGGGGCCGCAGTGCAGGAAGCCACAGCCTGTGGCAGTGCGCTGGATACAAAGCTGTGCTGGTGGTGGTGGGTGTCTAAATAAAGACATCAAGGAGGGGAGAAAATGTTCTGGTGCTGGGCCCTCGCTCACTGCAGCCTGGCACTCCTCCCCAGATGGTCTTGGAGTGAGGCTTTTCCCCTCTCCCTAGAAGCTCCTAGAGAAGATGCCACTGCCCATTTATTTCCCTGTTCTCTGCTCTTCCCCCCACATCACAACTACGGGTACAAACAAGCAGGTAAGACCAGGCAACCGGGGTGGGGGATCCTGATGGGAGGAGGCTGCAGCGCTGGCCGTGCGTGTAACAGTGATGAGCGTGATTCAAGAATGGGCCACGGGTTGTAGTTGAGAAGATTTTTAAGCCCATGGTCTGGAGTGTGAGCAGAAGCTATGCACCTAGCAATTCTCATGGCTTTTCTGGGGCGCAGAAGGGCCCAGACAGGAAGGCGGGGAGGGTGCTGGGAAGCCACGCAGGCAGGGGTCTGCCATGGAGTCCTATCCCTGGGTCTTGTTGTGATGTGGGCCCATGCTGGCCAAGAGGGGAGCCTGTTGGTCGGTGGACAGGCAGAATGAAACTTAGTGAAGCCGGGGCCCCTGTGCAGCCTGGGAAGGTGTAGAAGTGGTGTCAAATGCTGGCAAAGTCATGGGTGGGTGCAAAGACTGGATGACATGCTCCCTGGGTCAGTTAAATGGTGCTTATTACCCAACTAAGAGATGTGGGAGGAGCTCAGAACAGTGAGAGATGTGAGAGGTTAGTATTCTCCAGGCAGGTGCAGGAGCAAGATCTGGACCCACAGCCTTCCCCAGTGGGCCCACGTTATGGAGGACAGTGTCTGATGGAGGGAATGTCACGTCAGGCTTCTGGAAGATCAGACTCTCCTGCCAGCTGAGCCTCCCTTCTTTCCCTCTGCTTCTCTGAAAGGCTGCTCTGCTTGTGGGCATATCTGGATCTGCCCTGGGGACTAGCTCCCCTGGGCCAGCGGCACCTTCTCAGAGTTATGTACGTGTGACAAGCTGGCAGGGCACAGTAAGGTTGACTTCAGTGTGGACACATTTAAAGTCCTCAGTCTCCCCAGGCTCACACAGCCTGATCTGAATACATTTCTGAACTTAGTGCTGCAGCCCCAGAGTGGGGCCTGGTTTCCTGAGACCTCTGGATCGTCCACCAGACAAGCCGTTAGACCAGCCATAGTGTGTATCTTGCACACCATGGTAGGAACTCTTGCCGGATTTTTGAGCGGATGCTCAGGGAACATGCGGAGTGACCTCAGCCAGCAACCTGGATGCATGTGTGCAGCCCTTTCTGGACGGAGGCTTCTTGGGGCCAGCTCCAGGGGGTGTGCACCGCGTGGTTGAAATGGCCTAGTGAGGCCTGGCCTTCTGCCTCGGTTACTCTCAGGTGGCCAGCCGCTCTGCTTTCTGGGTTTGACCATGTAGAGGGCCAGTTGCTGTTGATCTTGGGTTCGGCCACTTCTGGGAGTTTGGAAGTTGCCCTCAAGTCTTGGTCCCCTTTTATGCCTCTGCCAGCTTGAAGGACCTTTGAGGTCAAACCAGGTTCTGTTTGGAAAAGAATATTCTGTGAAATGACAGAACAGCTGTAATGTTAATGACCACGCCTTTTATCAGCTGTAGCACTTTCTCCTTTGCCCAGCGCTTGTGATGACTCTTCTCTCAACCTCAGAGCTTCCCCTGAGGAGGCGGGGGGTTCAGGTCTGCCAGTCCGTTTCTGTGATCAGGAAGTCTGAACAGCTCCGAAAGCTTATGACCTTTTGTATAAGTTTGCAGCAAACTCATTGAGTGGCAAAACCTGATCTGAGCTGATGTGAGGCTATATTTATCCTGGCTATTTTGAATATTCATATGTTTCGCTGCAAAAATATTAATGTGTTTGATTACAGAGTGCTTCCCTAGACTCTTGTGGGCCTGGCGAACAGTATAGGCCCTGTAGTACCTTTCTGAATTCTGAACCAGTTGGATTTCTGGAGCTTCCAAGGGTTTTTGGACCATTGTCAGCCCCACCTTAAACAGAAGAGGTAAACAGATGAGCTTTGGAGCCAGTGACTTGCCCAAGGTCACAGAGCTGTAAATGGAGAGCCAGGAGCTCCAGCTCACCTGATCCCCAGTTCTAGCTGCCCCGCACCAGGCCATATAAGAACACGAGCACTGCCTTTCTGGGTCAGATCCACCTGACCCAGTCTGTGGGTGCCAACGCCATCCCTAAGATCCCACCGTTGGAAGCTACGGCTCTCTTCCCTGACGTCAGTCCTAAGGTCAGCTGGAGCCCGGCTTCTCTTAGGAGCTATTTACGGCTTCTCTTTGACCAGATCCTTTCTGAATCCATTTCTGTGTCTGGGAAGTATCGTTCGGGGGAGATGACTGACCTAAGCCTATTACCTATTACCCCTGGGCTCCTGGAAGTCCGGTCTTTTGGTGGTTGGCTCTGCAGACGGGAGGATGGCTGAGGGCCTTGTGGGGCTGTGCGCACCTACCGGGTTCTGCGTTGTTAGCTTGCTCACTGCTGGGCTCCTTTCTGTCCTGAGCTTTAGTTTCTTCATTTGTAAAAACCAGGTACTGGGGTTAGCTGTTTCTGGATTGTTGAGTCCTTCAAAAAGTTTCTGCACGCCTCGGGTGCTTGCGTAGAGCTTCACGAAGCCCTTTGGGTCCATTGAATTTTGCTATTTTGGAATCTGGGTTGGCAGCCACCCGACTAAAATAGGGGGTCAGTTTGATTTCATTCCGTCTGTTCTGACTTCGTGTTTTGACACTTCAACCTGCTTAGGGTGGGTGAGTCCCCTGGGCTCTAGACTGAGCCCTTGGGTACGTTGAGTATGATTTCTTTTATTTC